GATAAAAGCGAGAGTTTTATCTTCATCGGCTATGATGCTAATTCGAAGGGCTACAAGTTGTACAATCCAGACAATAAGAAGTTTGTGATTAGTCGAGATGTGGTCTTCAACGAAGAAGGAGAATGGGATTTTAACTCCCATACAGATGACTTCAATTTCTTTCCTCAGTTTGAAGAAGATGAGCAGACAATGAGGGAGCAACTAGATGAATCTCAACAAGAGCTTGCAACTCCACCCACTTCACCAACATCAACCACTCAAGGAGACTCATCACCTTCATCATCGTCAAGTGGGAGTCAAAGTGAAAGAGTTGTGCAACGCACAAGAAGCCTTAGAGATCTCTATGAGGTAACTGAACGACAAGATAATCTTACATTATTTTGTCTGTTTGCCGATTGTGAACCAGTGAGCTTTCAAGAAGCGGTACAAGAAAAGAAATGGAGAGATGCGATGGACGAAGAAATCAAGGCCATCGAGAAGAATGACACATGGGAACTTACCTCACTTCCCAAGGGACATAAGGCGATAGGTGTCAAATGGGTGTACAAAACAAAGCAAAACGCCAAAGGAGAGATTGAAAGGCACAAGGCGAGGCTAGTTGCTAAAGGCTATAGTCAAAAGACTGGAATTGACTATGATGAGGTATTTGCTCCTGTTGCTCGATTGGAGACTATCAGACTAATCATTTCTTTGGCAGCTCAAAACAAGTGGAAGATACAACAGATGGATGTAAAGTCCGCCTTCCTAAATGGAGTTCTTGAAGAGGAACTTTACATTCAGCAACCATCAGGCTATGAAGTCAAAGGGCATGAAGACAAGGTGTTAAAGTTGAAGAAGGCTCTTTACGGGCTAAAACAAGCACCAAGGGCATGGAATAGCCGAATCGACAAGTACTTCCAAGAGAATGGCTTCAACAAATGTCCCTACGAGCATGCTCTATATATCAAGATCAAAGATGAAGATATTTTGATCGTGTGCCTCTACGTGGACGATTTGATCTTCACTGGAAGCAACCCAAGCATGTTTAATGAATTCAAGGATGTGATGATGAAAGAATTCGAGATGACAGACATGGGGCTCATGGCGTACTACCTTGGCATTGAAGTTAAGCAACAAAATGATGGAATTTTCATTTCACAGGAAAGCTATGCAAAGGAGATACTGAAGAAGTTCAAGATGGAGAACTGTAAGCCAATAAGCACACCGACAGAATACGGGATCAAGATGACCAAACATGAAGAAGGCGAAAGTGTAGATCCAACATTCTTCAAAAGTTTGGTAGGAAGTCTACGCTATCTAACTTGCACGAGACCGATATTCTTCACGCAGTTGGATTGGTTAGTCGCTACATGGAATTCCCAACAACCACCCATTTTAAAGCCGCAAAGAGAATTCTTCGCTATCTGAAAGGTACAATTGACTTTGGCTTGTTCTATTCAGTTTCTAATGATTACAAGCTTGTTGGATATAGCGACAGTGATTGGGGTGGAGACATAGATAATCGAAGGAGCACTACTGGATTCGTATTTTTCATGGGAGATTGCATTCACATGGATGTCAAAGAAACAACCGATTGTCACATTATCCACTTGTGAAGCGGAATATGTTGCTGCTACCTCATGTGTTTGTCATGCAATTTGGCTTAGAAATCTATTGAAGGAGATTGGTTTGATACAAGAAGAGCCTACCAAGGTTTGTGTCGACAACAAGTCAGCCATTGCCTTAGCGAAGAATCCAGTATTCCATGATCGAAGCAAGCACATTGATATTCGCTACCACTATATAAGGGAGTGTGTTGCAAGAAAAGATGTGGAAGTTGAATATGTGAAGTCACAAGATCAAGTTGCTGATATTTTTACCAAGCCACTGACCAGCGAAGACTTCTTAAGATTAAGGAACCTACTAGGGGTCACGAGATCAAGTTTAAGGGAGGGTGTTGGATCATAAACTTGATCCATTATGAGAGCCTAAACCCAAACCCAAACTAAATTGATGTCATTACTTACATCATTTAATTAAAGATGTCATTGCTTACATCATTTAATTAATGATGTCATTGCTTACATCAATTTAGTTAGGTGAGAGTTAGATATTTGTTGAATTTGTAATGGTTTAAATTAGTTTATTTGTGTGGTGTAGGATTGTTCTTGAGTAGTATAAATACCCCTTCCCATTTTAGTTTTAAGCATCAAGAAAAATCAATAGCTTCTAAGTGAGTGAAGAAGCAAAGTCTTATAAGAGTGAGTTGTAGTTCTTGTTTTTGAGTGAGAGTGTTCTTGTAATATTTGTTTGAGTTTCAATAAAAGTTGTTTGTGTGAGTGTTTTATTTCCAACAAAGCTTGCATGGTCTCAAGGTTACGAGAAAGTGAAGTGCCAAGTTGATAGTAGCAACGTCTTCAACATGGTCTCTTCTGCAAACGCTAGATCAAGTCCGTTTTCTCTTGTTCGATTTATTGCTTCCTTGCGTGATAGAGGATGGGCTATTGAGTGCAAGCTCATCCGCCGAGAAGCCAACGTTGCTGCTGATATCCTTGCCAAGTCGTCTCTCCAGCAAATTCCAGCTCAAATGTATCTCGACTCTGCTCCGAGCTTCCTCCAGAACACATTACGAAATGATATAAGCAGCCTCTTTAGTACTGCTCATTAAGTTGTAAAGACTATGCCTTCATTACCATTCAAAAAAAAAAAAAAGACCAGCAAAGCAATAATGAGTAAAACGACAGGCGAAGATTACGTGGGAATGACATTGAAAATGATTTCAGCGTAAGTAAGTGCATGCGCACACACGTTCACGAACCTTATTGGACGCATGATTTTTTTATATATCTGAATCTAAGGTCTGAATTTATTAACCCAAAATTTACAAATATCATAGAATTGAGATTTTGATTGTTAAAATTTTCCAAATTCAACCTAAAAAGAAAGTAAAATTTCAATTCCAATCAAGTATAAACATGTAAATTTAAATTTATAAAATGATACTATTATTTATTTTAAGATTTTATTTATTTAAGTTTATTTTATAATAAATTATAAAAAAATATTTATTTGAATTTTTTTTTAATTTAGTTTGATTTTGAACAAATATGTTTCATAAGTTTTTTTTGGATAAATAATATGTTTCATAAATTTACATTTAGTTTGATTTGGGATAAACGAATTTTAATTGAAAAAAATAAAATTGAACCAAGTTATAAGGTTAGATATCTAAATTAAACTGAAACCAAAATCATAAGATAAAAGAATCTAAATTAAAATTAAATTCATAATTTGATTTAAATTGAATTTTAAATTTTATCAGTTTCATTGTTCAATTCTACTAAAGAAACACTTAAAATGTTGTATAAATTCGATTTGTCAATCTAAAAAACATATAGATTTTTAAAATTTTGACATATTTCAAATATTTTTATCTTATATTGAAATTATAATTAAACATAAAATTTAATAATTAAATCAATTTATAATTTAAATCATAATTTAGAAACAAAATATCTTTAGATTTTAATAGATTCTTAAAATATTTTAGAAATAAATTATGGCAAAATTAAAGCCCAAGAATAGACCCATTCAATGGACAAAAACAAAACACCCCAAGCTGAAAAGATAACATCTCTGCCTACGATCAAAATTTAAAGGGTAAAGTATAGTAATGGTCACTGAACTTTTCTACAGTTTTCATTTAGGTCCCTAAACTTTTAAAACTTGCAATATAATCCCCCAACATTTAGTCCGTTTGCAATATGGTCCCTCAACATTTAGTCTGTTTACAATATAGTCCCCGATGTAACTGTTGGGGGACCCATATTGCAAACGGAATAAATGTTGGGGGACTTTATTGCAAGTTCTAAAAGTTTAGGGACCTAAATGAAAGCTTTAGAAAAGTCTAGTGACCATTACTATACTTTATCCTATTTTTTATTACTAGTTGTTATATATATGAATATGCACCATAAATACATTAAATATACACTCAAAATATAGATGCTATTGGGAAATGTATGATACAATAATAATAATGTGTACTTCTAAGAAGATATATGATTTGACAAGACTAAATCACATTAAATTTTAAATCTTGTAATTTTATTATTTCATTTTGACCTTGTATGGTTTGTTTTTACTGAATTTAATAAATTCATAACAAGTGGTATTATAATATTTTGTTTTATTGAAATTAAAAGGATTTAAGATTTAATGTGATTTCATCTAATAGTTTAAGTGTAAGCTCATTTATAAATTCAATGAGTTATTCTTTTTATAAGCAAACTAATGAAATAATTGTATTTGAGTTATCAGGCATAGGAAACTGAAGATACTCATTTAATGCTTGTATTTGTGTATAATACTTGTACAAGTAGAATGAAACATGGCCTTGATGAACAATTAGTTGTATTTGATGCATAGGAGTGACTGAATTTGGGAGTTGTGTGTCAGGCAAAGAGGGGTTTGAGAAGGTTGGAGAGGTTGAAATCGTCGTTGTACCAGGTGCAATCCATAAAACAAACCACGAGTACACTGAGACACGTGCAGTCTCAAGCTCGGGCGCAGTCCCAGAATCGCGCAAGAAGACGTAGAATGTGGGAAGAAAACCAGATGCTTCACCAACACCTTTAAAAGAAAAGCGAGAAAGAGTTGGAGGAGAAGAATGCATCTGTGAGTTCATGTGAATGATTAGTAGAGGAGTTAGTAACTCTTTTTTAACATTTGGGATGGGATCAGACTGGCATGACAGTAAAAAATCCAAGGAGCAATCTGAAGCAATAAAACAGTACAGGCAACAAGCTGCTGAGAAAAGGGAAAGAGCTCTAGCTTATGCGTTCACTCACCAGGTGTTGTAAATGGATATAAATATGCATGTGATACCAGTATATGTTAAATTGTTTATTGATACGAATGTGGAATACATGCAGCGATCATGGAAGGTGCCTTCTAAAGCAGCGAATCAAACTTTAATGGATCGACAACAGAATCCCCACTGGGGATGGTTAGAGAGATGGATGGCAGCTCGACCATTGGAGACGTCAACCTCAACACCTAACAATGCACCACTCAACATTGTGACTACCTCTAATTCCATCTCTAACAACGATAATAATAACAAGCCATCTCCTGCACCTTCTAAATCCACCACTCGACCTCCCGTCCGCCTATCTCTTCCCACTCCTCCCTCAAAGATAGCTTCAGTTTCATCAGTTACTAATAAAATTAGACAGGCGAGTCTAAGCGTAACACGACGCGCAGGGGATGACGACTCCGCACGGGATCATCAACGCAGACGACAAAGTACCGTTGGAGGTTTTCCATCGGTTCGAGAGGACGACAGCCATAGAATCTCGGCCGCAGCGGCCCCGAATTCTAAGGCAACGACGGCGGTAAACCAGGCCACGAAAACCAGGCAGTCCCGATTGTCGAGTACTCTGAGGCGTAGTGCGATACCGGACAGGGGATTGCCCCCTGCTGCAAAGAAGCGGCTGTCGTTCCCTCCGAAGGCAAGTAATAATATGATACGGTCAAGTCCTCCAACGGCGGATAAGTTGAAGAAAGAAGGGAAACTTAGGAATGGAGGAGAGGCTGGCAATGGCGGTGGAAAAGAGCTGTTATAAATTTTAGTGGTGGTGGCGTGGTGGTAATTATTGGATTGAGCGAGCGGCCATTTTGGCCGTTACATTTTTTTTAATGATTGATTCATATTACATTACTCACAGTATGAAATGGATAGTACTTTTGTTTAAAGTTACACTTTTTATTTTTTAGGGTAAAATATAGTAATGGTCACTGAACTTTTTTAAAGCTTTCATTTAGGTCCCTTAACTTTTAAAATTTGTAATATAATCCCCCAATATTTAGTCCATTTGTAATATGGTCTCTAACGTAATTGTTGGGGGACCATATTGTAAACGGATTAAATGTTGAGAGACTTTATTATAAGTTTTAAAAGTTAAGAGACTTAAATGAAATATTTAGAAAAGTTCAGTGACCATTACTATACTTTACCCAAATTTAAAACCAAATCTTTATTCCTTCATCGATCAGAGAGAGATCTCACTCATTTCCAATCTCAGATCCCTTCTTCCCGCTTCCCTCACTGCCACCATCATTTTTACCGATCTGGGTATCTCCCAAGACCCCGAAGCAAACAATGGGTATAGGTGGGTCTTTGAGCGACGGCATCATAAAGAAGATCCTTCTTTCATACACCTACGTAGCAATCTGGATCTTCCTCAGCTTCACCGTAATCGTCTACAATAAATACATCCTCGACAAGAAGATGTACAATTGGCCTTTCCCAATTTCCCTAACGATGATCCACATGTCCTTTTGTGCTTCCCTCGCTTTCATCCTCATTAAAGTCTTCAAAGCCGTCGAGCCCGTTTCGATGTCTCGTGAGCTTTACCTCTTTTCCGTTGTACCCATCGGTGCTCTTTACTCTCTCAGCCTCTGGCTCTCGAATTCCGCCTACATTTACTTGTCTGTCTCGTTTATCCAGATGCTTAAAGCATTGATGCCCGTTGCCGTTTATTCCATTGGCGTTATGTTTAAAAAAGAAGGGTTCAAGACTGATACAATGGTCAACATGTTGTCGATCTCTTTCGGAGTCGCCATTGCTGCTTACGGCGAAGCCAAGTTCGATACTTGGGGTGTGATTTTGCAATTGGGAGCTGTTGCTTTCGAGGCTACCAGGTTGGTTATGATTCAGATTTTGCTTACTTCTAAAGGAATCACCTTGAATCCGATTACTTCCCTATATTATGTTGCCCCATGCTGTTTGGTTTTCTTGACGGTTCCATGGATTTTCGTTGAGTACCCAATTTTGAAAGAGACTTCGAGCTTCCATTTCGATTTCGTCATATTCGGGACCAATTCATTTTGTGCTTTTGCTCTGAACTTAGCTGTGTTCTTACTGGTTGGAAAGACTTCTGCATTGACAATGAATGTAGCTGGAGTTGTCAAGGACTGGTTGTTGATTGCCTTCTCTTGGTCTGTCATCAAGGATACCGTGACACCCATCAACTTATTTGGGTATGGACTTGCGTTTTTGGGAGTTGCTTACTATAATCATTCAAAGTTGCAGGCTTTGAAGTCCAAAGAAGCACAAAAGAAAGCTACTCAAGCAGACGAGGAAGCTGGAAGATTGTTGGAAGAAAGGGAAAGTGAAGGAACCGGCAAAAAGAGTGAATCTCAAGATTAGGTCAGATCATGGTTTGGGATATCAAATATGGAAAGAACAGGTTGCAAAATAAGTGCTGAAGGGAAGAGATGTTTTGATGATGATGATCCAAAGAGCTTGCATTCAAGGTCAAAATACAAAATATGAAAAGGGATAATGCATTTGGGTTTTGGTATGTTGGTTTTAGGTCTTCATTCTATAAACTAGTTATGTTTCTTATTGCATTGATTAGTGTTAGAGGAAGAAATCTGAAATTCCATGTATTTTGTTTGTTTTTTGTCATTCATGGAGTTTTTTAATGCTTATTTATTCATTTCATGTTTCTTTCTTCTCGTGTTGTTTCCTTGTTTGCTTAGGCGGTGTGATTTGGCATGTTGCTCTCACAGCTAGATTGACGTGATGCTTTGAATACGATTGTGCGATTTTTGGCATGTTTCTCTAACAGCTAGAATTGGAGTCTTGGTGAGTAATGAATGGTAAAAATGATTCTGAAAAGGAAGCAGAAATGAGTAGGAGAATGTTTTGTCAATGGCTGTGGGATACTACTTTTGGTCTTTTTGCATTTAGGTGTCATAGTCAATGTGTACCTTTTTTCTTAATGTATGGTATACTTGGCTGACCCTTGAGCAATATTGCTAGCAAGTTTTGGCATGACATAGTCTACTGGAACAGTTATATCACCTTGAAATTAGTTCAAATATCTGGCATGCTCAATCCAGTATTGAGATTTAGTTTCTAATGCACTAGTCTCTCTTGTGCCAACAAGAGTAGAGGAGTCATTTTCAGCACTTTAGCCATTTCTACTAGTATTTCTTTTTTACAAGCGGGAGGGGTTGCAGATCGAACTCGGAGTTAATTTTAACAAAAATTAGAGGTATATTCAATTCGGTTCGGTTCGGTTAGATCCTATATTTAATAAAACATGAGCTGAATCGTATTGTGCATAAAGACTTCGACATTAAAGTGGAATTTGTTACTGGGCCAATAGGAAAGGAGTTGGGTAGTTGAAGTGGGCTTCTTAGTAATGGGCCTGCCAATCAAAGCAACCCGGATAACAATTTTTATATATTTTATTATTGACGTAGTTTAATGTCATTATTAACAAATACTTTAAAAAATAATTTATGAATTGTTATATTTCATATTACATCCTTGTTCTAAAATTTTTAGCAATTTAATGAACATTTCCTTAGAAACATAATAATTTGACCCAAAAAAAGTTGAAAGTAAAAAACTTATACTCTTTCGCTTTCCAACTGGCAATGTCATTCGTCGAGATGGCCAAGGCATATTCTTGATATTATAGGACATGAATCGAATCAGCCGCCCAGTTTCCATTTTCTTTACCTTTATTCTTTAGCCATTCTTTTATGACCTTTTTTTTCAAGTATAAATTAAATTATAAGAGAATCTATAATTAAAAATTATTAACAAAATCTAAATAATAATCGGAATACATTAAAATCAATCATCACATTCATAGATTATGAAAATAACTCTCAACTAAAGTTATAGATAATGAAACTCGGATTTGTGAACTCGAAATTTACTTGGTCTCTTTTGTGCTTCTTTTGCCATCGATAAATGCAATTTAAAGGGGCAAAATAGAATTGGACAAAGTATATAAACTCTCGTTGAATTTTGCTTAAATGATTGTTCTAATTATTAAGTTTTAAAAATTATAAAATTATTATAAAATGCTCATTATGATATTATAATAAGTATAAAATTTGAATAGATTTATTGACTATGTTATAATAATTTGAGAATTTTAATAATTATTTTATGACAATTGAAAATTCAATAACTAAAATAATTATTTAAACATAATTAAGTGACATGTGATATACTTTATCCCATAAAATTTTAAAGCTAAATATATAAATGATTTTCTCCCCGACAAAGCTTTTGTATTTGTCACGAAATGTGACATTGGGATACCTTCTGGACAGTCCCCCCATCACATCAATGCTTTCGGATTTTAAAGTCACTTTATCCATGATGTGTTAATATTCAAACACTGTTAAAGCATAAATCATTCCTCTTTAACAAAAAGAATCATATTTTATTCCTTAATTACTTATTAAAAAGGGTGAATTACATCCGAGCACATTAAACTATGTGTTTTAGTTATTAAACTTTTTAAAATTATAAAAGCTCGTTAAATTATAAAATTGTTAGAAAATAATTATTAAATTTTATCAAACTTTTATAAAGTGATCATTAAATTTTATTGAATTATTACAAATGGTCATTCAATTTTTCATTTTTTACACATTATTATAAAGTAGTGATGATCATTTTGTAATAGTTGAATAATTTTAATAAATATTTTGTAACTTTCAAAAGTTCAATGACTATAATGATCATTTAAACATAATCCGGTGGCCTCCAGTATACTTTACCCTATTATAAATACTCGAAATCAAAGACAATTAAAGTAACAACTGGAAAGTGCTAAAATTTCAAAGAGGTGGCCAAGGAAATAGCTGGTGGAAATGAAGAGAAGGATTCTTCAATGGATCATCTTCATAACGTTATACATTTCAAGTGACAGAGCTTTCATCTCATCATCGGAAGCTGCTGTTAATGATCTCAAGCCATTGATGAAGGGAAGACAACTCAAAAGTAAGTTCTCTCCCTCTATGCATGTATATTCACATGTAAAGTAACCGGTAATACAAGAGTTTAATATCTTTTAAGTAAAGCTTTATGTTCAATTCTTGTTGATAGTAAAGTCAATGTACTTTTATTTTCCATTTAGAGTTTGATCTGATTTGACTGAACTCGTGCGAGAATATAAATCGATTAATTAATGTTTGATCACTTCAATGAAAACCCTTTTTTTATTGTGCAGGTGTTTTCAAGGATCATGGAACAAGAATCAAAGGTTTGCATGAAGCAATTGAATTGGAGGTGGTTGAAAGAGAGAAGGAAGTGATTGTTGATGAAAAGAAGAAAGGGGGAAAAGGAAGCTATGGGGGTGGAGATCTCCCTCGACCTCGTGCTAGAAAAGGAGGAGCCAATCCCCTTCACCCAACACCATTTGCTTTGCTTGCGTTACTACTCCCCACCTTGTTCTTCTTTTGATAAGCCTTGGTTATAAATCATACATATATATATATATAAATAATTAAGTTCTTTGGATATTTATTAAACATTTTAGTAAAAAATTAAAGTTCGGATTTATTTAATAGTTTTTATTTATCTTCTAAACAAAAAAATGTTATATTTAGCATAATAAGTTTTTAAAGTTTAAATTAATAGAGCTAGAATCCACCTACACAAACTTAAAACCATTGGATGAGTGAAAATAGATTACTGAGATTAACTCTTTGTTTTACATATCTTAATGCAATATATATATATATATATACATACATTATTTGCATATTATAATTAACACTTAACAAACTAATTAATCTAAGGTAAAGTATACTAGAGGTCATTAAATTATGTTCAAATGAATTTTGGTCATTATACATTAAAAAGCTATAAAATGATCATTAAATTTATCAAATGTTACAAAATGATCATTGCAACATTATAAAAATGGTAAAGGTTTGATAAATTTAATGAACAATTAGTAACATTTGGATAAAATTTAATAATCATTTGGAAACTTTAATGACCAAATTATAATTTTCAAAAGATTTATAATTAAAATAATCATTTGATTGCAATTTAATAATTTGTTGTATACTTTATCTGATAATTTAATAATTTTTACAAATAATAACGATTAAACGATTTCTAAAATAAAAAAATAAAGATGAAAACACACATTTACCTACAATCATAAAAGAAAAAATCACATGCAGAAGAGATAATTTTTTTCTACAGTGGACATCAAATTACAAGAGGATTGTCTTATAATACATTAAAAATTAATTATATATATAATTATATGAACATATTAACCTTAATTAAATAAAAGTATATCATAATATAAATTTTATGTGCAAGAATACTCTTCCATTCAAATAGCTGTAACTTTAGAATGCTTTGATACGAGTATTAAGAGTTTATCATATGACATCACACACGATAAAGGATTTGTTCGAGATTTAAATCTGATATATTATTTATTTATAAAATAATTATTATTGATATATAAGTCGTGACCTTAACTATTTTAATCTCAATGTATAAAATAAAAAGTTTTTACCCTTACTCATAAATTCTAAATTCTATAACCATAAATTTTAAACTCTAATTTTTTTAATAGAAGTATCTAATTTTATTAAAAATAAAAAAAATCAAATTAAAATAAAGGTTTACAATTATAATGTACACATAATAAGCACATTTTCCTATAATCATCAACACAAGAAAACTAGTCATTTAAGATCAGAAATAATCATATAAGGAAAATATTAAAAACCTAACCAAATAAACTCGAACAAAAGGTAGATACGAATATATCTAACCACATTAATAAGCGAACCACAAAAGGAGATCAAGCAATTGAGAGATCACAAAAAAACTATAAATCATAGTCAAGCGACGTGAAAAAACTATCAACGAACACAAATCACATTTCCAATCCAATTTGATGGTCTATAGCAGAGAATATTAGCATGATAACAAATAAGTGTCATATTGATCAACGTGATGATGTCAAATTCAACATCAAGAAAAAAGATAAACAGAAACACCAGTTAAACGACAAAAAAGTGTCATAAACGTAGAGAAAATCGAGTTATAAAGGCAAATAAAAGAATATCATAAAGGAAAAGTTATTAAAATTAAAAAAAACAAAGATACACTATAATAAAATAAAAAAATAATAATAAAAATCGACAGTTGACTATCAACACCAAAATTGCTATCACTACTAATCACAAAAATAAAGGAGACTAATGATGACTCAAGAAAAAAAAAATAGGACAAAACTATAGAAAACCCACTTAAACTCTAAATATTAAGTACTTACTATACATAACATTAAAATAAATCTTTTTTTATAAATTAAAATTTATATAACTTATATATAAACTAATTTTCTTTAATAAAACGTTCCAACACCCAAATATTCTATATTCTATGGATCAAAGCATTTGAAGCCCAAATTTAAGAGTTGAACTCAAGCAACCAGCTTTGACACCTCCCATTGTTTCGTGACCGCCAGATCATTGGATTCCATTGCAACATCTGATAATGTAAGATTAATCTTGAACGACATTATCTATCTCTTGGTTTTTCAAGATTATTCGGAAATGTAAGAATATATTTCATTTGATGTTTAAAAATATGTATTATAATTAAAAATATTTTAAAAATTTTACATTTTTATTATCTTATAATGAGACCAAAAGTATTAAGTAAATTAAGATTATGAAAGTTTTCAAAATATATTATCTTTAAGTGAATTTTGAATAAATAATTTAGATGACAAAAATAAATAATTAACCAAAAAATTTATTAAAAATATAAATAATATTAAAGAATTAACTGTTGGGTGATTTAAATAAGCGAAATTCAAAATTTAGTGATCAAAAGTTAAAAAGTTATATTTTTTTTAAAAGGTTGATTTTGTATTTAATAATCGAGACAAATACAAAATCGGACACAAGCATGGATCTCATTAAAAAATCTTCCTAGACCTAAATGGAGAAAAAAATTGACCATGCTCGTATCGAAAGATACACAGCACAACTTGTTAATCTCATGCAACCACCGTTATGCCTATACTGATCACCTGGGCAATTAACACACATCACAGATGAGCAGTCAATCAGTCAAAAGTATGCAAATAACAACTAATCAGACCAACACCAAGCGAGGCAAAGCCTCCACAGCAATCTGCTGAAGACCACAGCACAGAAGAAAGACAATGAAACCAATCTTCACACAACGGGTCGAAAAACACAACATTTGCTCAACAAAAGACTACACTCCAACATTAAGAACATGCACCCTCGAGACTGAAACGGAAACCACAAATCCAATCGGGCAGCAGAAAAGATCCTGAGTCGAGAACCGAGCACCTGGCCAATTACAGTTGCACCAGCAACCAAAACTGCCAAAATCGATGCATAAATCTGGTCTTTGCATAGCGACTTATTATTGAACAAAACATCGTTTCTTGAAATTCAAATAGACCATATGAAACCCAAAAAAAACTGTAATCCAGAATTTCTAGCAGAATTTTGCGATCGGCAACCCAATCCAATAAAGGAGGAAAGGATCAGACGTTACCGAGATCGGCAAAGATAAGCCGACTCTTGGTCTTCACCCATCAAGGAATGTTCGCGATAATGAATCACTCGAACCAACTTCACTACATGACTACCAACTTATCGAGGAATGAATTTGTCCATAACAGGCACCCCCGCTTTAGCTTGCAACCGGAACAAGGAAAACCTGAAAATCCATCACTCTATGCGAACTAACCACACCCACAGCAAAACCAACAATGGCACCCCAGGTAGACACAGACTAAGTAGGCAAATGAACGCCACTAAAAAAATCAATGATGGACGGAGCTAAAACAGGCCACTTGAATTATCCAAAAAAAAAAAAAAAAACAGGCCTCTTGCATTTGCACCAATGGCCTATCCTAATAGCACAGTATTCGAATAACTGATTCTCACAGCATCTTTTGTTATTAAACAAGATGTCGTTCCTATAAAACCACAGACTCCACATTACCCCAAGAGAACCATCCTCCACACGGGTTTGAACTTGAAAGAAATCTGCTGGTCCTCCCACGCACATAATAGGCTTCTAAAATTGGCCGGACAAATAAAATTAAGCTTCCATAATGAGCACAATCTTTGCCATATTCTCCACGACACCTTGCAATGGCTCAATAAGTGGTCGACCCATTCTTGCTCTTCGCGGCATAAGACACAAAGACAACGATCCAGATTTGATACACCCCTCTTTGCAAGGTTCTGCAAAGTCGGAATTCTCGAAAGGACCGCTTTCCATACAAACGCCTCAACCTTGGGAGGCGCAAGGTTCGCCCAAACAAGTTTCCAAACGCTATCCTTTTCCTTCCCAACACATGCTACCATTTCACAAAAATTCTTTGGTTTACATATGCCATCCGGGCTCCCCTTCCAACTTAGAACAGTACTTCTCTGTCTCATTAAATTTATTACTTTTGAATTTTAAGATAATCATGTTCAAAATGTCATATTAAAAAAGTCAATAAATAACAATACTTGTATTTTATTTCTTTTACACTTAAATATGTTCAATTCTTTTATATCTATTAAAACAAATCTATTAAATCTATCAACTACTTTTTGAGATAATTTTATCATTTTTTTTTTATAACCTGACATGTGATCAAATTTATCTCCTAAAACTATGAGTGTGACATCCCAAACCCGACATTTACTCATCATCGAGTTCGCGAGTGTCACATTTGAACATCAAAGTAATTCATGACATTCCGACTCTAACTAAAACGTAAATTACTCAAAGTATTAAAACAATTTATAATAAATACGAAAAACATGCAATTTATGAAAATAAAAACTCCTTTAATTTAAAATAAAACAAACACAAAATAAATTAATATCAAATCAATTTATAAAATGACTCGAATGAAACACCTCATACCATCTACATGCCTATATAAGTCATTGATATCGTACTCTAGTACTCCCATTAAGATTCCTCCACTAATATTATTGACTCATTAAGATCCATAAAACTTATAACCTGAAAAAGATAATAACTATAAGAATGAACTAACAAACTCAACTATTCTATATATTTCATAAGTTTCATAAAATACCATCAACATTATTTCAAACTCTTATGTTTGGTCTAAAAATAATTTTGGGTATTTTATGTTCAATAATATTGAGTCAACATTGAATCACACTTATAATTTATTCACAATTAACATAAACCCTAAAAACACAGTTGGATAATCTTAAGGTTATTTTAATGATTTCATATATGCTAACATTTTTTGTTATCTTAGCCCATAAGAGCATTTTAATAATTTTAACAATCAACATTATACCATACATTTCATAAGACTAAAAGCATTTTAGTCCTAGGCCAAATCAGTTCCCAAAACTCATAGATTTTAAGAAAATATATCTCATATTTGTGGTTTCAAATATTTCTCTTCTGA